ACACGTACTGCAGCAGCCCACCACTGCAGCCCGGATCCTGGGGCCACACGTGCAGCAGCCCACCACTGCAGCCCGGATCCTGGGGCCACACGTACTGCAGCAGCCCACCACTGCAGCCCGGATCCTGGGCCCACACATACTGCAGCAGCCCACCACTGCAGCCCGGATCCTGGGGCCACACGTACTGCAGCAGCCCACCACTGCAGCCACTGGAGAGCAGCCTTCCATCTGGAGACCACTTCAGAGCACACACGGCCTGCTGGAGGCAAAGGGCTTACTCGATGCTGGGCTGCCCGGACTTCATGGTGATAAACACGACCCAGTCCCGAGCCACTGCATGGGAGTAAAGGGGCAGGCTTGTGTGACAAAATCACAATAATAATAACAACAACAACAAAAAGGAGAAACCCTGCTTCTACACAAGCATTGACAACTTGGAGGAAGGCACAGTTCAAAGGAAAACTACTAAAGAACCCAAATACAGGTAGAAACCCTTTGGGTTAATAAAAATGGAATATTCTATCTTTGGATTCATTGCATAAGTGAAATCGATTTGTCTAGCAGAATTTCAAACTTGGAAATAAAATTATTCTTTGACATATCTCCCTAAGGCCATAACAAGATATAGATAGGCATGGAAAAGATAAATTTAGAAGACTACCAGATTGTCTCAGGTAGTAATTTATGTACTGGAACCAGGAAATATTATTTTTTCTGGAATGCTTCATTTTATCTCAATGAAGTGGTTCTGGTGTATATTTATAGCAAATATTAGACAAAATTCATTATCTCCTTTTTAACAGGTATGTTCCTATTAAATTATAGGTCCATTCTTAGTTTAGCCAATGTTACTAATATGTAAAAGAAATTTAAAACTGTCACAAAAAATTGAAATAGGATTCAAAAAAATCTATGGATAAGGTTTTGGGGTTTTTCTTTTTGGTACCAGGGACCGAGTTCATGGCCTTGTGCTTGCCAGGCAGGTGCTTATGACACTGAGCTATCTCCCCAGCCCTTGGATAAGATTTCTGTATACTCTCAATGATTTAAATTCAAAACCCATGGGCCAGCGAGACAGCTTAGCAGACTAAGCACCTGCTTAGGCAAGCGCAGGGACAGGGGTTCAATCCCCAGCACCACATGATGCGCCTGCCTCACTCTGGCACATGGTGGTACACCTGTAATCCCAGCACTGGGGAGGCTGAAAACAGGAGTGTCACTACAAGTCTGAGCTGTGTAGTGAGACCCTGTACCAAATACATACATACATACATACATACATACATACATACATAAATTCAAAAACCAATGAAGATCCTAGGACTTCCTTAAAGATAACTAACACTTCAAATATATTAACCAACAATTTGATGTCCTCTATGGAATAACTTTCTATAAAAAATTATGAATCTTCTTGAAGTCCAGTGTCATTTTTAGACTAAGCACAATACTGAATAGCACTCTAACAACATGGGTCCTGGAACCAGACTCCCTGGGTTTAAATCCTGCCTCTGTCCCTCACTAACCATGCAACTTCAGTTTAGTGTCTCAGTTTACTCATCTGGGAAAAAATGGAGGCAGACCACATTTTAGTGTTTTGGCAGGGATTAAAAGAAGATGCGCATATAAAAACATCGCTCAATGCCTGGCACAGAGCACTCCCAGGTATCTGCTCCTGTTCTTCATGGATAATGAAACTAATCTCTAATAGTGCAGACTGTAAAAAGAAGTTGGGTACGGAACTGACCACAAGAACTAAGCGGTGGGGACCAGTCCCAGCCCAGGCGCAGCGTGGGCCGGA